TCAATCAATCGAACAAGAATGAGACAGCTTCCGGTCGCAGTATTTCAAAGCCAAGCATCGACCACGTCTCTCAATAAAATCGAAAAAAAATAATTCAGGTTATTTTCACGCAAAGTATTCACGAGGTCCTTACGATACTTGACATTTAAATATTCTGTCCGATACCTGCCTCATACTTGTACCATAATATTACGAGGTATTATCGATACTTTGCGTGAAAATACTTTGAATTATTTTTATTCGATTTTATTATGAGACTTGGACAATACTTTGTTTTGATACACCTTAGCGAATGACCACCTCACTCTTGTTCGATTGATTGACGATGTTCTTACGATACTTGACATATTAATATTCTGTCCGATACCTGCCTCATACTTGTACCATAATATTACGAGGTATTATCGATACTTTGCGTGAAAATACTTTGAATTATTTTTATTCGATTTTATTATGAGACTTGGACAATACTTTGTTTTGATACACCTTAGCGAATGACCACCTCACTCTTGTTCGATTGATTGACGATGTTCTTACGATACTTGACATATTAATATTCTGTCCGATACCTGCCTCATACTTGTACCATAATATTACGAGGTATTATCGATACTTTGCGTGAAAATACTTTGAATTATTTTTATTCGATTTTATTATGAGACTTGGACAATACTTTGTTTTGATACACCTTAGCGAATGACCACCTCACTCTTGTTCGATTGATTGACGATGTTCTTACGATACTTGACATATTAATATTCTGTCCGATACCTGCCTCATACTTGTACCATAATATTACGAGGTATTATCGATACTTTGCGTGAAAATACTTTGAATTATTTTTATTCGATTTTATTATGAGACTTGGACAATACTTTGTTTTGATACACCTTAGCGAATGACCACCTCACTCTTGTTCGATTGATTGACGATGTTCTTACGATACTTGACATATTAATATTCTGTCCGATACCTGCCTCATACTTGTACCATAATATTACGAGGTATTATCGATACTTTGCGTGAAAATACTTTGAATTATTTTTATTCGATTTTATTATGAGACTTGGACAATACTTTGTTTTGATACACCTTAGCGAATGACCACCTCACTCTTGTTCGATTGATTGACGATGTTCTTACGATACTTGACATA